AAGAGCTTCATACATGCACTACTGTGCACTGTCGGTCACTGCTACGTGAACGCGGCGTCTACTTTTTTCTGCACGGAGATAGGGAGCTTCTGGAGGCGGCATGACGCCACCGGAAGCGAAGTTAGAAGTGTAAAGAAACGCGCCCAAAAACCACAAAGAAACACGGCCACAAACATGACCCAAAACCACAGCTGTTTTGGTTGGTCGTCGTTGGAGGTGTGTCATTCCAGACTTCCGACTTCACCTCTGGTGGGGTCATGTCACCTCCAGAAGCGTGCCAAACGATCCCGATGGGCGTATGAAAAACCAAGAGAGATGCTAAGAACTACGCAGTAACACTGGATCAGCAACTGCCTGTTCATGTAGTCGATCAAAATAAAGTGGAGGCCAAGTAATATAGTCAAATTTGCAACAAGTAACTATTGCTTTATTCTCTCTGATCGTACATGTGCGGTAAGATTCTTGTTTTGCGTTCAAAACATGACCCGCTGCACGCTCGAAATCTTTGAAAATATGGAGAAGCCAGATAACATGCCAGATAAAAGCTGCCCGACGTAAGAAATTATAAATCTAGACACCTTTCATACCCCGCATCAGGCACGTAGCCAGGATTTTGTTTCGGGGAGGGGGGGGGGGGGGGGGCGCCCATGAAAAAATGCTGTGTGAGGGAGAGGGGGGACAGGAGGCCCCAGCAAAATGGAAGATTTCGGGGGGGGGGGGGGGGGGGAGGAAAGAGGGCTGGGCCCCATGCCCCCCCCCCCTCCCTCGCTACGTGTGGGGACAGGAGGCCCCAGCAAAATGGAAGATTTCGGGGGGGAGGCGGGAGGGGGCGGTCCCCATGCCCCCCCCCCCCCCCCCCTGGCTACGTGTCTGGGCCCACATACTTTATTATTTACATTTTTAATGTTTTTAACCGCCCGTGAAGATGCAAGCGCGACGGGGTAATTTCTATATAGTGACAGGACAGGCATATTAGCAATATATAAGAGTCACCGTTACGATGGAAAACCTTGAACACACTTCACATTTCTTTCCATTGTTATTTCGCTTAAAATCGTCTTTCAATTCACACAGCAGCTGCGGAACAAGGGTTCGGGCCTTAACTATAGCGAAGAGTGACATCGTTCGCCGATTATAAAAAATAATATCCTTTAATCCGATCCAATCAGAGCTCGGGTTCTGTCGACGTCACTGCAACTCCTGCGTAAAAAGCACACGACGTGCTCTCCGCACTGCGTCTCCTCGTGCTTTTTTTTTCTTTCTTGCCTCATTTTTTTTATGAAGTCTAGCCATTACGTGTCTGCTTTCCCGTTTTCACTCTCCCTATAATTTTTGTCAATTTGAAAATCCGGATCGATTCAGGGAGCAGAGGCCATGAGAAGTCTCAATCTAGCTCTTCATATCTTACATTAACCCTGTTGGAAGAGTGATGCATAAGTCATCCTTATATCGCATTACCGATTGATGACTTGGAGCTGCTTCGCCAACCTGGTCCCAAGGAGTTCAAGGAAAAAACTAGGGTTAGGTCCACGCCTGCGGGCTCCCGGGAGAATGTTTTCGTGTTGTTTTCGGTTTCGAACTCCTCAGTCGTGTGTAAGAACCCGTGTTTGACGTGTGTGCGTGGTTTTTGTCCTCGTTTTCTGCTTGACTTAAAACAATAATACAACAAACAAACGAATTATTACCAACTGGCCCAACCGTCATCGGTCATGGGGTCGTACCTTATACGACCCTCCGGAATACTTCCCGGTTACTCACGGTTGCAGGCGTATAAGAAGATGGCCCTGCTTAAAGCAGAACTCTGCCATTTTTAAGACACCCAAAGTAGCTCAATTTTCTCAAAGTGCATTTTTTAACTTCAGAATTGTAAACTTTTTATGTGAACTAAAGTTAGTTCCCGCAGTCTGTCCAGGATGTTAAGTTTATAATGAAAATGCAAACCCTTAACATGCGATTAAGTTGCTTCTGAGCACAGTAATAATCGTGTTGTGTGTATGTTTAGACAGCCGAAAGACTAAAGGGGCGGTGCAACGATAGTCAATTGGAATGTGTTTCAGTTTGCACGATCTTACTGGCACTACTGGAGCCCAAGTATACTCGCACGCAACGCCATTAACCAAGAAACCTCTTTGTTGCGGAGTAATTTCAAGGATAAAAACGAACGTTTTCTTTCAATCTCTCCTTCGCAAAACTTGATGACGTATCTGGGGGATGACAGTATCCCCCAGTGAGTATATTTGAATGCGGCTCATACATTGAACCCGAGCACTGCGTGAGCACTCGATCTGGACTCGTTAATAGCTCGACAAACATTCCGGTAGTTGCCCGAGTCCAATCGCAGCAATGACGACAATAGCCGGATCCTAGCAATATGTGGAACTCAGCGCGTGTCCTGTGCTTTTATAACCTCGGCGCGGGGCTATAGGATCAACATTGGTGGCATATAATCGGCTCCAGGTCACGTGGCATCTTGTTCCGGCTTCGAGTTGAGGGGGTGAACGCGGCTCATTTTCCGTTAATTTTTTATTTTTTTTTTGCGAGGTTTATTGTGTGGGGAGGAAAACAAACGGCTGTTTCATTGGTCATACTCGCCAGGGATTCATTGTAAACGGTATTCGCGCAAAGTACAAAAATGCTTGCACCGCACCTTTAAGGCAGGTTCACAGAGCACCGTTTGCTTACGTCACGCTACGTTACGGAAGGTTACGTCCACTTCCGTCGAGAGTCACCGAGACTCTCCGCGATTTATATTAGGCGTGCCTTATATTCATCGTGGCAACCATTGCAGCACCACTGATATCTATAGAGTTTTTAACGTGCGACACGCACGACCGCAGGCCGGTACGATACTCATCTAGTTCGAAACGGTCATAGTTGGGGATTGAACCCAGGATGACCGAGTTCTGCAGCGCGAACTTTCGCTCCACGCGTTCCAAGCTCCGGTGCCACTGATTCCCTTCTGAACACAGTGGTGAACCTACGGATTCGACAAGGACCGTGTATTTTAACCATTTAATGTATAAATATAATATTTTAGAAAGAGTTAGTTGCATCACGCCCTTCCCATGTAGACGAACCCAATAAACTTTTTATCACTATTTTATGCTAACGCGGCAGATGAAAACCTAAGAGTTGCGACTGACGTTTTACTAGCCAAACTTGCTAAAGAAGCCAAGGCTCTTTGCAGAACGTCGGCTGCTACAAATTATGGATTTCACCATGGCTCCTTTTAAATTTAGAAGGGCTGTTTATCACGATGAAAATTAATTAATCTACCCTAAATGAGAATGTTCTGGTTTTAAGTATATTTCAGCTGTCGCTCATTGGACGACTTAGCATTTCGGTTGTCTCTCAATCCCAAAGTTGGGGATCCCAATCCTAAAGTTGGAGATTGAGAGACAATTCCCAACGTTTCAGTACTTTGTCACACTATCAATACTTTGTGTGCCGACGCAGCGTTGGGAAGGGGGGGGGGGGGGGGGGGGGGGGCTGTTCTCTCCGCCTCATGAATCGCGAGGCTCTCAATCTCCAGTTCATAATCCGCAGTGCTTGGAATTCCGCCCCGCGCGAGTTCAACGGTACAGCATTCGCGCGGAAATATTTGGGGCGAGAAAAAGCGAAAAAGCGACATAACTTACTGGCCGCTTTAGGAAATCGAATGCAACGCGGCTAGCGCGCAGTAGTGCATGTTGTTCCCACGGCGCTACCGCTCATAATAACTGCATATATGGTGTGTTTCATTTTAATTCGAACCGATTTATTAGAAAACTTTCGTAAAATATGCACTAATACAGTTTGGGCAGGTGAGATATATGGCCAGGGGGACATCATATACGTGGCTGATCTTTGCGATAAGTCAAATAATTAACTAAATGTCCTTAATTAAAATTTTAGTTAGTAAAATAATCATATGGTTTCCATTGGGAACATTCTGAGCGTGATCGAAAACCACTCTATCAGTCAATTTTAGAACGATTTGATGCTCGTGGGAATTTTGTGGGCGCACCAAAGTTACCGCTCGTGCAGCAGGAGCAAAGTTAGCAGTGGCGGAACGCGATGATAATCTAATCATTCGCGTTCCGCAACAGCTAACCTTGTACCTGCTGCACAAGGGGTAGCTTTGGTGAGACCCCGACTTTACTACGAGCTTCAAGTCGTTTTAAATTAGATTGGTGCAGTGATTTACGATTATGTTCAGCATTTTTGTAATGGAAACCATATAATTAATTTTACGATTTGAAAAGTTAATTAAGGAGGTTTAGTTACGTATCCGATTGATCACAAAGATTAGCTACACATGTAATGTCCCCCTGGCCGTATAACACACCTGCACAAACCATATTAGCGCATCTCTTACGAGTGGTTTGAAATAAATCTCTTCGAAGTCAAATATAGTGTAATACAGCGACTATAAGTTAGCAACCTCTTCGCTGCTTGTTGCAGAAAGAGTATATGCGGAACGCAAGTTTGTCTGCTTGTTGCGCAGGGGTTGCAGTGACGTCAGAACGCCGAGCTCTGACTGGTTCTGATTGGACGAATGTTAGCTGCTCTGCGGTCTACCCACTATCCTTCAATCAGAGTCAACCAGAGCTCGGTGTTCTGACGTCACCGAAACCTGCTGCGCAAGAAGCAGACGAACTTGCGCTCCGCATAGACTGCACTGCAAAACCACACAATTTGTGATGTGTCTATACTTTTTTCAGGTGTACAGCTAATTCATAAATGGTGTGAAATTGAATTTTTCTCCCTAAAATCGCTCAGACTCTGCTTCTCTCGGCACCCCACAGCGTCGCAACTGTGGCAAGATGATGCTCTAGTCGCGGTATTACACGATATACGCAGTCGTGGCGAGTACTATTGTTGCCGTGAGGTTAGCATCAACGACCCTTGCACGGCGTGCTCTTCCGAAGAACAGTCTCAGTAAAAGAGACGTTCGAGGACCTGCCGCCGCGCATCGCAGTAAAAAGTGAGTTTCCTGGACCGAGGCGCGTGTCCCTCACCGATTGTGGTGATGACGGTGAGCGAGTAGAGGAAGGCACCCGAGAAGGACCACTGCTGGCTGGTGCGGGACTCCTTGCCGTCGTAGCCGTCCTTGACGGCTGCGACCAGCTGCAGCTGAAACTGGCGGATCTCGTCGTTCACCAAGGCCGTCCAGTTCTCCCGGTAGAGCACGTTCAGCTGCAGGGTCACGTCCCAGATACGCGACACCATGGCCTCCCGAAGGGTCCGGACCTGGCTGGCCTTCTGCACCTCGTAGGGTCCCTCGAGCGCCTTGAAGGCAAACGCGCCGAGGACGCTGTACCCCACCACGAGCGCGCACAGCCCGACGTGCGAGAAGAGGAAGGCGGTGAAGTCCTTGCAGCACGTCTTGCAGCGGTTCTCGGGAGGTCGCTTGCGCTGGGGCGCTCGCCCGCGCCGCGACGACCGCTTGCGCTCGAGCGGCATGGGCGCCGCCGCCGCCGCCGCCCCGAGGAGACCCGCGGTTCCGACGTTCTTCCCGCCCCGCGGTTACGCTCCGGTGGCGAGCGGGCACAGGGATCCGTCCCGGACCCCGGCCCGACCCTGCTCGCCTCCCGATCCACGCTCCCGCCCGGCCACCATCGCAGCGTTCACTGCCGCCGCGGCGTCGAACCGCGAGCTCGGCGAGAAGTTCATCGACTGCCCGCGCGGCGGCGAAGGGCAACATGCTCCTGCCGCCATCTGTCCCCGGGTCACGGGACCGCCGAGGTTTGGGCGCCCGAATCGCTCGCCACGGGTCGCGGAAGAAGTCGTTTAACCGCTTTAATCCTTCGGCTGATTTCAGAACATCACCTTGTGTGATCACCGAAGGCTTATGAAACGCAGGACGCGCGACCCGTTGTTCTCACGCCTCATGGTTCGTGGCCGTTCTTAGCGGCGCCACAATCGCATTGGATGCGGAGCATTCGGATCAAGCTTCGCCGCATCGCACTGGCGTTCTCGCGTCAAGCTCCACCCCTTCGCAGCGGCGCGCGCGAGTCATGCTTCACTGCTTTGCACCGGTGCGCTCGGAGAAACTGCTGACGCGGAGCAGCACGTCCTTTGGTTCGATCGGCTCCGACATTTTGCTCAGTGTCGGAGGTTAAGCTTCTTTGGTTTCGATTATAGTCAACCCTAATTTTAAAGGACAGTGGCGTAAAAACAATGTCAACCTATACTCGAATAAGTAAGGTAGTCATTGCTTTGCTTGCCACGTTACATATTGTTTTCCCCGACTCGTTTTATCAGGCACCTCTTTTTTTTATTAAACGCAAGCCTGTTAAATGTTCCTCGTGCTATAAAACCGTTTGTTTTCAATGTCGTGTCTTCTGAAAAAGATTGTTTAGATTGTATTGTATAACTATATTGTATAACTATTTAGGTATACATGCTCACTTTGCTCTAAATGTAAAACATTTGTATTCATAAATGTTCGATAGGATTAACTGTCAATTCTTAATATGCGCATTCTATTCGCAGTAAAATAAATCGTATTCGCACACATCTACGAAAAATATGGCAACGGCAAGGGGGTGGGAGAACGCCTCCGCTCTCTTGATGCCTGCATATTTTGATTTTTCATTTCTTCTTTCTTTATTAAATGACAAAAAAAAAAAGAATTAGAGATGTTGGCTGCCGTGAAGGGGCATGCCCGGCTACTCCACATTCAGTTACTCTGTACAAAAAAAAAAGTGGGAACATTCCACAAAACCCTGTGTACAATCTCCCCCCCCCCCCCCCCCCCCCCCCCCCCACACACACACACAAGGGTTTTCCCGCAAACAAAAAACAGCCAATTATTTGGTTACATTGAGTCCACTTGAAATGTCACACGATCAGTCAAACAAGTTCGGTCTTTTAGATGTCACATTCCTTATCACACCACAATTTTCAACGAGCATGTAAAGTTATTCAATATCTATCACTTGAACAGATATACATATGGATTGCCTTATACAATACATCCCACCTCAGTTATTAATCGGATTGTTTTTTTGTTTTTTTTTTTGGGGGGGGGGGGGGTGTGTTGCAGCGTCTTTTTGCAAAATTTGGTTGGCACGTTTCTTTGCGCTCGGCACTGAAATAATGAAGAGCAAGAGGGAACGATAGGGCATTAATTAGGCAATTCTCAAATGATAATTTTTTAGTTATATTCGCAGTTGCACGACACTGATTTTCATAAGTTGGGTACTTGACAACCATCTTACAACTTATAAAACACGTTAACAGCTTGTGCTGTCATGTGTTCTACTATGCGTACAAATAATTCAAATCAAAAGTAGATTTTGGGAAGATAGAAGCCGACAGAAAAAGCAAGACTTCATGCTTTAAAGATGTTATTTTTTATTTTTTGCAAGATAGCAAATTTGACGTTTATTGAAATCAAGCTTGCTAAATTCTCGGAAATTCAGAGTTTATTTTATATTAATTTAATTACATGTAAAAAATTGCAACTCATGACAGACATAATAAATTAATAAAAAATAGCAGCCATTCGCGAGTGCATTAAAAACACAGAAAATAAATATAAAAGTATGGATCTAAAAAAAAGTAGGGGCCGTGCAGAAACAGCTTTAAAACAAAAGGCAATGAGCAATATAAAAAAAAATGCAGTGTTACTTAATCTTAGTGATAAAGCCAGCGTACGCAGAGGGGCCGGAATGTTTAAAACTGCATTGTTTTTTTAAATCATTTTTTATCTTTGAATTTAAGCTAATTCAATTTACCCACTCATTTCGCTAGGAAAACACTTGCCGCTAAATTTATAGGTTCTATAAATTTACACGATTTAGCGTTCCACCTTTTTTTTATAACATATTTTATGCAACCCTATCCTTAAACAAGCTCTGTGTAAATCAGCCAGGCCATGGCTACCCCCATTTATCAAAAACACTGCCACCTCCTTCCAGTTAATAGTCCAAATGATAGAGTATAAACTCAGAACCGCAATGGCTTCAAAAACTATCATTAGACTGGCCTCGGTTATAATACAGATGTACACAGCAACGTTGATCCTTTATCCCGAACTGAAGTTGCCCATAATCATCATTCGCTTATAGAGAACTTCGGCGAAAATTATTTTATAGTAACCGATTTGCCTGCAAATTGGTTTAACGGGTTAAACAGACACACATGAACAAAAAAACTTAAATTACAAGTTACGATTTGTTTGTTGTTGCGATAATATTGATTATTTAGAAATGCACTCTACTAAAATACCTTGTTTATTTTTAGCTGATTGTAATATGGCCAAATTTAAAATAACGACGAAGACGCGATGTCGACGTCTGTCCCGGCCGCTGGTCCCAAGTCGTCTCGCCTAGTGTATGTAGGCTTGTCCGTGGTCTTGTGTGCATAGCCCTTTCCCGGCATCTCCTCGCATCGGATCGCTCAGTTGACCAAAGGGAGGGCGCCGGTCCCAAGCGGCAGGCCGGGTATCGGCCCCCGCTGCGCCCGGGGTCTTCCGAGGATGCCGTCATGGGGTACTTGATAGAGAAGAACGCGACCGTCGCTATCTCTGTAGGCCTCACCACCACACTGGGCAAAACTGAAAACGTGACGTCAGATTTGCAATATGGGGGAAGTACAGCTTATTTCTTACGGGTCGCAAGATGTATGATGGTGTGATATGAACGCAAGCTAAACTCACGCAAAAAAAAAAAGAAATAACAGGCAAAATATTGTGTTTTAGACTGCCTGCTCGACCTGCAAGTTGCAGATGTTACGTCACCCCATTGAAGAGCGCGGAAAAATTTGAATGTTCTTTTAGGCATAGCATTAATTTCCTCTTTTCTCAAAAGCCATCTCGAACTTATGGTTAATAAATAGCACGCCAGGGAGAGTAAGGCCTGGGTATGGCGAAAATGCGTTAAATGCGGGTAGATTAAAAAAAAAAAAATTCCGAGGACACCTAAGCACTATTTATGGATTGTGAATGCGAAAGCATGAATGTCGGTCTTCCGCTCCCTTAGTTCGTCTGCGGTGTACTGGCGTGGACGGCCACGTTTCGGTACTGCCGAGGTTGCGGCCGACGGCCGAGCGCGCGCTCTCGTGAAGTGGCCGCGCCGCGCTGAGTTCGGCCGTGCAGCCACTCCGGAGTCTGCCCGGGCGGGCTCTGCTGGCTCTGCGGCCAGCCGCTCCCTCTTACCGGCGGCCGGGCCGCAGCGCCGCCATGGAGAGGGCCCCTCTGTGTGGTGGCGTTTCTTAGAACTACGCCGCGCGCCACCCAATGGGAGCCTATCCATCAAATCTCTGCTACAGAGAACAGGCTTCGGCCTTTTGAAACACACTCTAACAAATGCATGCGCGTCTACTTCCCCGCAAAACACTCGAAGAGCCAATCACTGCGATCTACGAAATCAGTTCAGCGAATCATGAGGCGGAACATCTGTTTAGACCTCAAAATTAAGTCTGCGTTGTTGAATTACGAAATGCAAGCATGGCGCTTTGCACTGCGTAATGCCACAGCGCAGACTTTATTTTTAGGTCTAAGCGTATGTTCCACCTCATCATTCGGTGAGCTGATTTCGGGTATCGCAGAGATTGGCTTTTTGAGGGTTTTGCGGGTAAGTAGACGCCCAGGCATTGTTTAGAGTACGCGGGGGTTTAGGTGCCGTTTGGTGCGGCTTCAAAAGCTGATAACGCCGGTTCGCTCCAGGGACAGTTAATACTTTCGCATTAAATTAATCATGCTCGGTTAGAGAAAAGCCTGTGACCCCTCGTCAGGACCGCGCTGACCGGGCGCTCAAGCGAAACTAATGTGAAGTGCCTTTCTCTCTCTCTGTCTTCTTTTTGCGTTGTGATTTTGAATGTGGTCGGAACAACTCAACCGGTGTATAAAGGATGAACTTGCAAATACTAAATATGTAGAAGGTTTCTTTTTAAAAAGGCCGTGCGCTACGATGTTCGCTTGGAATGTTTTTCACTTCACACGAGCTTACTGGCACTAGTGGGACCCAAGTATACGCGCATGCAACGCCACTGACCGAGAAACTCATTTGTTGCAATGTCATTTCAAGGAAAAAACCGAGTTTTTTTACAGTCTCTCCTAGCAAAACTTCATTATTTTTTTATTCAGATACCTACAGTGCAATGGGGCCTTACAGTAAAAAGGAGGGAGGAGGAGTTGACAATAAGAAATGTAAGTAGTTATACAAAAGCTAAGAAAACAAAAGTAACATCTCATAGATATTTCAGTCTCACAACAAGGTTCAGGCTTCTTAAATTCGGTTCACGAAACACAGTGAGGTTAGTGCAAAATAAAACATATCGTTAGGAACAATGTTAATCACTGAGGATGGCGAACCGTTCCAATCCCATATTGTTATAGGCAAAAGTTAGTTAATAAAAATTAGTTCATGACGTAGTGGGGGGGGGGGGGGGGGTCGCGGTATATCCCAGTGACGATATTTAAATGCGGCTAATAGATTGGACATTGCGTGGGCACTCGATTTGCGCTCGTGATAATCAATAGCTCGACGAGAAAGTTGCTTGTGTCAAATCGCTGCAATGACGACAATAGCCGAACCATAACAATATCTGGAACTCAGTGCGCGGCTATGATCAACATAGGTGGCATATAATTGGCTCCCGATCAGTTGGCCGCTTGTTCTGGCTGCGAGTTGAGAATGTGAACGCTGCTCGTTCTTCTTTCTTATTTTTT